TATGTGTGTGTGTGTGTGTGTGTGTGTGTGTGTGTGTGTGTGTGTGTGGGGTCAATTTGTCATACCCTATGTTTCCAGTGCTATTATACTGAACTCTACCAAACGAAAGGCACTATTAGGGTACACTATAAAGTGATGTGCAGCGGTAGGGTGTCAGCATTTGGATTTTGCACCTGTGCCACTCCCTGTTGTTGAATATGCAACAGATCTCAGTATAGAGATGCTTATTGGTTGACATAGAGTAAGCATGAAAAAACACTTTAAACTTTCAGGAAGTTATTACTGTATAGAAGATGAAGTAAAAGAATAGTCCAGATATACATGTACTGAAGCTGACTGTATAGAGGATGAATATAGTGTGAATAAATTCTTGGAAGTAAAGAATAGTCCAGATATACATGTACTGAAGCTGACAAAGATGAGCTTTGCACATTATTACAACAATTTTCTTTAAAAAATAAAAAAATTAGATAACATGTTTTTCTACCACAATCAGCATACATATGCTACATTAATGACAGTGGAATGCATTTAAATTTTCAACAAACACAGTTGCCTTTCTTTTTTTTCTTCATAGCAAAGGCCATAAATCTGATGGGAACCACATCACATGAATAGCCACAGCAAAACTTAGCATTAGTTCTTGATGCAACTTTTAATTTTGCCACATTTGCAAACTTACAATAAAATTGTGGTGATCGTTGTCAAGCTTTGTAGCCTATGTTATCACCTAAATTCAAATATACAGTTACTAGTCATGACAATGACCATATACATATACCATTAATCTTTATGAAATAACACTTTAAATAGGATTTTCTTTTCAAACTGTTTTATGCTTAAAAACATGTTTGTGTATGTGTGTGGACACACATTTTACAGAATTAAACTGAAATAACTGAATTTCAGTATTATAACGGGCATAAAGTTGTTTACTAGATCATTACATTTGAAAAATGTATTAGTTATGGTAAAGTTTTAGACTTTACAACCATTAAGCCAATTGTAAAACTGATCTGAAAATTACAAATAAGGGTAACTTTTTACCTATCAAAGCTTAAGTAACATCTCTGTTGCATACTACTTAGATACTAAATTATTAGACTGAAACATAACACATTTAATTAATTTTTTAAGTATGTGTATAAATCTCTCTACATTACTGAAAGATTTGACTTTACTTTTACAAGGTTAAAAAAAGTTAAAACTAGTTACTTATAAAAATGTTTGTTTGAATAGCAAACCCACAATTAAATCACTTGAATCATCATATCTCTTTTCGCAAACAAAAAAAAAGAAACAAAATACAACATTTAACTTGTAATAGTAGTCTAATGTTTAAGAAAACTAATTTATACTACTGCTAACATTTTGGTCACAAATTCAAATTATTCAGTTAAAGTGTCTTCTCTACAGGACATGAAGATTTTACAAAATAGGAACAAATCTGAGTTTGTTGCTGCTTATTAACATTCTACTTTTACATTTGATGTAGAAAATTCCAGTGACTAAGCTACTCGTAGCAAGAGTACAATCTATCTCTAGAATCTTGAAAATGTGGAAAACAAAATCATCAATATCTCACTTTTCAGTTATTTGTAACACTAGAAAAGTGCATGCATAATTAAAATGCTTACCAGGCAACAGGTAATCACTCTTTTGCTTCTTGCTCTTTTTAGGTTGTGGTTCAAGTCCTCTTGAATGTCCAGTATCATCCTTTACTACTTTCATGGAATCATCCCAAATCTTTTTCTTCTTTGCCTCTTCTTGCTTTTGTATTGGAGAATCTTCTTTTGCATAATCATTATTTTCTGTTGTTTTCTCTGTCTCACCACCTTTTTTCTTAATTTTCTCAGGCTCGATAGACAAGTCTTGGGAATGAGTCATGTGTTTCAGTTCTAACTCGTCTTTTGGCTGAATTTTACCAAAAGAATTACTCCTCACTCTTTGAATTTCTCTTTCATCAACCAACGGTGGTGATGAGTCTCTGTTTACAAGAATGGGTTTAGGCTGAGCAACTTTGTTCTTTTTCTTGGCCTTTAGTGGTCGTGGGTCTACATCTGGATCTGTATAAATTACTTCTGCTGTGGATTTAAATTCAACATGCTCAATGTGTTCAGTTTCTAGTTTGGATTGAATGAAGTGTTCTGTGTGAGTACTTTTATTTTCATCTGCTTTCTCTTTTGATTTTTTTCCCCATTTTTTAAATTTCTTCTCTTTTTTTGCAGTTTTATCTGACTTCGGTTGTAGTTCAGCTTCCAAGTTTAATCTACGTTGTTCTTCAATAGCTTCTTCATAGGTTTTTTCTTTTATTCCAAATACAGAGACAAGGTACAACAGTAGACCAATGAAGAGGAATGCACCAACAAAAATCAGTGCTGTCTGTATATCCATATTCAGTGATTACTTTGATAAGAATCTTTCTTATGTAAAAAAAGAAGAAGAAAAAAAGAAAAGAAATTAAACTACATATTCATGATAAAATGTAAATATCCATTTATAAAATGTATGTATATTTTCATTATTTTCTCACTGGGTATCTTGCCAATAACTTCAGTTAAATTTTTGCAAAAATTCTGCCAAATTTAAATTTTACATACACTTAAATACAGTGAATTTAAGTTACAGTGCATTGATGGTCTTACATATTTTGTTTTTAATATAGAAAAGAATTAGTTACAAAATAAACCTACATGCTGTACATAAGACCGAAATGGTCAACACTGCAATACACAAAGAATTCTTCACACATCCTATAGTAGTAATTTTTGTATTTTATCTTTATCGCATATAAAATAGATTCAATAAAAACTTGAGTTTTTGCTTTTATTTCAAACAGAGTTTAGATTATTCTAAATATTTAAGTTTATGCTGACTTTCACATGTGCTACATGTGAAATCGGAGTTGAACTCAATGTACTCTCTATATTTCTGCTTTTTAGCCTATAAACCTCCACATCTAGTTTACAGAATAAAGCTGAAATGTATAATAGGGCAAGATAACATAAATTGAATCATATATGCATGTTCAGATGCTAACTATTATGGTTTTGAATCAGCACAAACTGTGTTTAATATCCTACAAATTGGAAAATCTTACAGAATACAAAAACAAAACTTATACTGAAGATGATCAAAAGGGTTTTAGTCAGGTTTCTATTATCTACATACCTCATTTTACTTGTAGTAAACTTATTTGATAAATACAATATAAGTAACTAAGCTAAAATTAAACAAGACTGTCACAGAAAAAAAATTTATAATCATAACTGCCATATAAAACATTTGAAGCTCATAATTCTTCTTTCTCCTAAACATACAAATATCACTAACACTTAGACAAAACTAAAGTGGAGAGCGATCAAAATAGCAAAGTTCAGCATTCTAAATTCATACTAAAGTTATGGCAAAGACATGAAAGCAATTCAGTTGTCTATCAAGACCACCCCTTTAAATATTAAATGAAACTCTTCATATTCACATACTTATCCACATTATCAGACAAACAATATCATGAGATAACTAACAGAGGAATACTTTTACCAACAAACAAATCCGTAAAAGCTTTCAAAGTGTAAAGCTACCGTCCACATTTTCAAATTTTTTATTTTACCACTCAAACAGCCAATTATAAACAGAATGTCCAAATCTCTAACTATTTCAAATGCTCAAATTAATTCACTTCAAAAATTTATTTCAGGAAGAGCTTTGCCAGATAAATTAGAAACATTTATGTGTAACAACAAAGAATAAAGATTTTAGAAGTACAAAATGTTTTACAGGTTAAACTGACATAAATGAATTTGTAATGATGACAGGTTAACCTAGTGAAATGTTGTGTACCTGTATAAACATTTTATTTTGTTGTTATCCACATACAAGTTTCTAGTTAAAGTTATTTCTAGATTTTGGTTTTACATGCTCAGAATTTTAGTATTCTCTTTTTTGCTCATACTTTTTAGACCAAGTACATCATTTCAGTACCCCATTTCTACACTCTGGAGTATTTTCTTGTATTTCATAAAGCAAGGGTTAAAAACTGCACACAGAATTCTCAATGAGGTATCAGCAATTTCATTCAAGATTATAATAGATATTTTATTCATAAATTCTAAATCTGTATAAACTATTGCTGTGTTTTTGTTGTTGTTTTTTTACCACATCTAAACATTCAACTAAAGATAATATATTTTCATCAATATCTTTCCCTTTTCCCACTAATACTCCTATCACATAAGAAGCAATTTTTTTCAAAATTTATACTTTAAGAGCATTACCTTTATGCTTTTCAACAATGAAACTCACTGTCCACATTCTGGCTGAGACAATTATGTTGTCCAGCCTCTTCTGGATATAAGAAACATTTCAAAGTATGAGCCTTTCCCCAAATCTTAGTATTATCAGAAAACAAATAAAAGAAGCTATCATTAAAGCAACCCCTGAAAGAATCAATAGTTTTTATAAAAATTAAATATTTTAATCAACCACTGAAGCACCTCATTAAAGGCTCTCTAGAAATCAACACATACATCATCAACTAATGCTTTCATGCAAAAAACTAATGTTTTTTTTTAAACTACTCAGATTAGAGTCTGGTGAAACCTCATTTTTAGTACTGTGTTCAATTTTAGTTTCCTTATTACAAGAAGAAAACACATATATGCTAGGAAAAAAAGTGTTGACTACAATTATTTGAAAGATGCATATTTTAAAAATCAAATAATCAAGAAAGGTTTAAATTTTGGATTTTATGAGGAATACAGAAGAACCAGAGAACATCTGATTCAGATTTGATGACAATGAACCCACTTTGGAGATAGCTTAAATGGATAATGAAGAAAACAATTACTAACTGAAGCTGTCTCAAAATTTGATTCACATATTTTTTGATAAACTGTACAAGTTAAATGCTTAAGTCTTAGAATAATAAGGTTTGAAATAGAAAGTCGTATAGTAAAAGTGATAAGTAAATGTAAGCTTTGGTAGACCAGATCTTTTTTTAGGAGCATGTCTGTTAAGGATCATGACCTTACAGCATGGTTTGCCTCATAATATTATGAAAAATTAACATTTCGTCACATTAGTTTGGGGTGCTGATATCTCAAAACTGGTGCCAGAAAATACAAGGATGCTAAAGACTAGGGGTACATTTGGTAGACTATTTCATTAAGTAGAAAGATTATCTCAATGGCCCAAATGACCTACAGTCACCTTGTTTATCCTTATATTCATAAAACAGTAAGTGAAAGCAGGCATTGATATTCCCATCAGATATTGACAACCCTAAAGTTGCAGAATTTATCAATAACATTTAACCCATAAATAAAATTTTCACTATCATAAAAAAATTATCAGGAAATATTACAAGGAAACTATTACTAAGAACAAATTACTGGGAAACATAACAAATACTGTTACTTATAATATCATTATACTAGATAGTACATCACGTTCAGTGATATCAAAGCTTAAGCTAATTCTAACATACATGAAAAAATTTATATTTTTAACGATCTAAAAGTGAAGAGCCCATTACAGCTCAAACTATTCACTTGACAACACTGGAAAAAAAACCCCAAAAAATGATATATTGGATATCACATTCATAATTAATTTGTTTGTAACTGTTGATTCACATATTGTACTGCCATTTTATTATTATGAATTTCATTTTAATAAACAGGTGAACTAATAATGGTTGAATATTTTAGCTAACATAAAATTCAGACCTTGTGCACTCAACGAAAAAACAAGAAAGAGAGATTAAACAATCTTAAACTCCCTATAAACTTGCCACACAAACCACTCCGCCTTTACCATATGCGAATCTCTTGAGATAATCGATACTTGCAATATGTAATTAGTTATGTGCAGCAATTAAAAACATAAACCAGCTACTTATCTGTAAGAACAAATGAAACAGATCAGTTATCACAACTAGCTTATTACCATGAAGATTAACATCATGTACATGAAGGAATTAAAAAACCATTCAAATAAATGCTGGGTTAAAAGTAACAAAACATGTATAAATTTTTCTAAACTATATTTGTGATAATTCTACTGTTACTTTTTTATTATTATAATCACCATCATCATCATAAATTTGAAATGTTTTCTGTACAGATATGGTACAAACTATTGCATGTATCTATTTCAAGGATGCTCACAGAAAAAAAACTGGGGGGGGGGGGGGAGAAACTCAAGTTTGAAAAAATTATGAAATCGAAATACAAATACCTTATGATTTTCCAATAACATAGAGGAGTTTTACACATCTAGTAATTTGTTTTTTTTTGTTGAAAATCCAGGGGGGGGGGGTCAAGTGACCCCCTTGCCCCTTCCTGCAGGTGCCCATGATCTATTTGTACAGCAACAAAAACATAACCTTGAACAGTGCTCTGTTCTTACCTTTTAATACATATAATGATTACTGCATAATGTCATCAGATGCCAACATTCAGATAAGATGCACAGATATTTTGAGAACAATAAGCTGTGCGTACCCAAGCTGCAACATTTTTTTCTTTGTAAAAGTATTCGTATGCACATGTGTGTATTATCACACACTTAGGAGTAAGGATCTTTTGACACTAAAAGGGAACATGAAATTAAATTAATCTTAAGTAATTATTGAAATATTGTACAACAAAAAATTAAAACAACTGGTGAAACTTTTTGTTTCTAATATGCATACTTAATAAATACTGTTTTGTACTGATAAAAGCACTAAGACATTTAATTCACAATTTTTAGTGTTGCCAAACTTAAATATTTAATACTAGATGTATTCAAAGGGAAAATAAAGGGATCAAAGGTACGTTCAGTCTTCTTCACACTTGTATTTAGTAAAGAATCTGCCAGAGTTCTGTAATTTTAGGAACAATTTCACTAGAAATGACATCTTTGTTATATTCAATGCAATTTTATCCCAACCCCCTCCCCCACACTTATAATGTACTTACAACAAAGCATTTTGTTAATATACCTCTGTAAAGACTTGAACAATGGGAATTATTTGTACATATAATTAAAATACTTCCAACCTAATAATAATGGGAGAACCAAATGTTATACATTAACCTGCACAATGAGTGAAATTATAAGTATATCATACCCTTTCAACAAATTACCTACACAACTACTAATCATAATTACAACAATGCACACATTTTATAAATATGATTCTTTTTACCATACAAGAAAACATGGTTACAGTTCATATGTAAGCAAATATGGAACATTAAAATTTCCAGTTTAAGTTTAAAGGTTGCTTATTTTTTTATGAAGTAAAGTACACATTTTAAATCCAGATTATTGAAAAGGTACTGTCATGCAAATTGTGTTGAAAACAGAATTTTGATAAAAATGTTTAAAACAAAAAGTATAGTTTAAGGGTAAGACATATATAATGAAAGTTGTT